AGCCTAGGCGCAAGGAAGCCAATATCCGCTGTGAATACAGTGGTCAGTATAGGCCCTGGGACGAGGCAGAGGGTATATACAAGACGTCATCCAAGAAGTCGGGATGTGACTTTCGCTGTTACATCCGCTTCTACCGACGTTGCAATGCATTCAAAGTCACCATCAAGCACGGCTCTCATAACCACGAACCTCTATTTGAGCCAATTGCTAACCCCATCGTCCGTCAACGAAGCCAACGCAAATTCGGCATCGAGCGTCTTCATAGCCTCGTCGAGGGGCTTAGCAAGAACGTCAATAACAAGAGCAGGGATATCGTGGATGCTATCCGACAGGAATATCCTGAGCTCCTTATTACCGATTCTGATATACACTTCATCCAGCTGCAACTTCGTGCCTTCCGTTACGGCGCCTCTACATCTACACAAGCCTTCCTCGATGTACTCAAAGATGCTAAAGCAAAGGGGAAATCAGCTACTATGCAGTTGACCGTGGCCCTAATGGGAAGGTTTGGAGGTTTTTCTGGACATACGATGACTGTATTGCTGACTGGAAGCGTAACCCTGAGCTCCTTATCATGGATAATACGTATAAGGTCAACCGCTTTAACATGCCGCTTCTACAGATCATTGGCACAACAGGGCTACACAAGAGCTTCAGTGTAGGCTTTGGCCTCACTGCCAAGGAAGACGAAGGCGCGTTCCAATGGATCCTCTCACAGTTGCGTGAGGCTGGTCGGCAGGCTGATATTCCGGACCCGGGCGTTGTGATTACCGACTTTGATACCGCCCTGAAGAACGCCCTTGACTCTATCTTCCCATCAACGCAACAACAAGTGTGCGTTTGGCATATGATGAAGAACGTGATCCTTCACATCAAGAAGAAGTGGAAGGATCCTCGATGGCACCGAGATTGGCGGAGATAGGCCAGAACAGGAGACTCGCCTCGCTGCAGCAGCCGCTCTCGACGACCCTATACAGGCAGATAATGCCATTGACGAGGACCGACCTATCGACCGTGCCACTGATTACCAGATTCAACATGCCTCACAACTGGCAGATCAGTGCGTTGAGCAACAAGATGATCGTGAAGATGACGATGGAAACCCAATACTACCCCGGCTCCAAGGCGGACTTTTGAGCACACAGCTGACGGTATCCGTGATGCCTGGGTTTCAGTCTTTAGGGCTCGCACGGCTGAGGAGTGCAGAGATCAGTGGGATCTACTCTGTATAGAGTTTTCGGATCAGCCAGGTAACCCTAGCCCTAACTACCCTCCTACTCTAACCTTTTACTAAATAGCTCCTCTTATAGCTCTCGTTAATTACCTCCGTACAACCTACTGGCCATGGCGTGCCCAGTTTTCCACCTACGCTATCCAACAGTACCGAAATTATAACATTACGGTAACTTCCCGTGTGGAGAGCACACATCACGAGTTGAAGTCACGATTACGCAACCGCTTCATTGACCTCCATCAGCTACAAGAGCACATCAGAGGGCTCGTTACCCATCGGCAAAAGAAGCATCGCGAGAAGCTTCAATCCGAGTTTGCAAGAGCTAGAGTTGAATGGGCCAAGCAGACGATTATGAAGTCACTGCACCGAAAAATTGGCTGGCAGCCGATGAAACAGATCTTCAGGCAAGTTAGGCTAGCCGGGCTGAGCTTGCCGATAATCGAGGCATGCCTACGATTTGTACGGGTGCTTTCACGATGCAATGGGGGCTGCCCTGCCGGCATACAATCCGCGATTTGATCCAGGCTGACGCGGCCGCCCTTATACCATTGCATCTTATTGATAACCACTGGCGGGTTTACGGCGTGACTGTAAGTATCTTGCTCCAGCCATAAGTACTATACTAATTTACTAGCAGCCTGAACAACAGCAATATATCGATGCAGACCACGAAGCCGATCCTGACGTTGTCCAGCCTCGCCGGCGTGGAAACAGTAGACGCGAGGTATCCTCCACTAGAGGCATCTACGGGCCGGATCCTTAGTGCTTGGGAGCAAGAGGAGCATAGAGCCAACCCAGAGCTCGTATCACGGCCACCAGAGACGCAAAGAAGAAGAGGAAGGGCACAGGCACCACTATCATGAACAAGAGGTCGAATACACTTGCTTCCGTGAGCAGCCGGGTTGACGATCTTGCCCAGCAGATCGGTGATTTCATCAAGTCACAAGCAGCAGCAACGCCGGTGCTGTTATCACAGGTGCCCTCACTTCCACAGGTGCCGCTGGTGTCACAGGGATACCAAACGACGATGCCCTCACTTCCACAGCCGGCGCCGCCGTCACAGGATACTATGTGATGCCACCGCCTACACCAATTGTGCCTGTATACGTACAGGCGCCGGCGCCGTCACAGTGGCAAGAACCGCCTCCTCGTCACAGGCACATCACGACGGCTTCATGTGGGCACAGCCGCCGGCACAGTCTCACGAGACGGCTACGGAGCATTTCCAGCAGCTAGGGATCAGAGGACACGGCACCATACAAAACTAGCAGGCAGGCCGGTCACAAATTCGTTCCTTACGTGCCTCGCCCTCCGCCGCGTCGGACGGATCCTTCCTCACAGTCACAGTCACAGTCACAGAGGTAGGCAAAGACCTTCCGCCATTATATGCATATTGTATATATATCGGAAGATCGATCGGGCCGGGCTTATTGATAGCTTCAATTGAATGACTCTAAGGGATGCATCTTCCGGCGTTGGTAATAATTGCAGATAGAATCCATATATGTCAGACAATAGTGTCCCACACCTCGCACGTGACAGCGGTTGATCTTTGTGGCATCAGTCAATTGATGAGAATTATCTAAAGAACAAAGGAAAGGAAAAGAATTGGATGCACACATTCGTGCAACAATATATACCCGATCATTGCGGCGAAGCCGCGGCGCAGCAGTGGCAGTGATCGAGCATAAGGTTTCAGGAACTGACACGGGCGTGATATGCGACAATATATCTAGGCAGGCAGCCGCGGCAGCGGCGTTGGGAAAGCGCGCGCCAAATTTTGGTGGCGGGGTCTTCTTCCAAATGGGGCTTAGGTCGGGAGTGTATGTTTGAAAATCTGGAGTGTATGTTTGATTACTCCTCTTCTCAATGCAAAGATCCAATAACTAGTGATAATTGGGGCCGGTCTGATCGAATCCGGAACCCGGGGAAACTAGTATTCCCTCGGGCTTAGCGCTAAGGGGGCCAGAGCACTAGTCCTAATTAGAAAGGAGGCTTATAACGGTAAATTACCGGTCTTTTAGGGTTTTTTTTTCGTTGTAGTTGGTCAGTTGGGGTTTATGAGTCAAAAACCTATCTCCATTCCCCATGCGTGACGGCTAGCAGCGATATAAATCAGTTAAGAGTCAAGACTAGATTTAGCTGATATGCTGTCCTATAATCCCAAGAAAGCTTAGTGATAATATATATGCTTTAGTGTTCCTCCTCTACCTCTATACCGCTAATCGAGATTCTTCTATGACGTTTATCTCCCCGTTACCTACTAGCCTCCTCGCCTCGGCATTCCAAACGGTGCTGATCTTCGCTTTATTCGCTACCCAGCTTGTTCGCTACGTATGGATTATTCTTAATACCCTCCGACGTCATCATTGACCTTTCTTCTAGGTATTCTCCTTGCTATTAACGCTATTGCGAAATTTGCCAGAGCTAGATGTCTAGGCCTTCACATAGCTTCTAACCCTTCTATGCTAAGTAAGACGTCTACTTACGATAAGAAAGCGCGTAGTACTCTATAAGTATAAAGAATAAGCATCGGCCGCTTCAATTTTTTTTATTTTCATCACCTCCTATGAATTAGAATAGGTTACGCATGTGAAAGGCTGGCCCGGAGTTTATTCAACAAGCAGGTGCCTAGGTGTTGTCTATCTAGAGCTAAGGAGGAAAAGAAGCTGAACTCGAGGCGTAGCCTCGAGTGCGAGCTTATATTACCCTTCTCGGAATGTTCTCGCAGCTTCTGGGTCCGCGGAGGGCCGGTGTTGCCACCGGAGCACGACCCACCGGACCCGGTACAACCGGGTCCACCAGCCGGGCACAGCCCGTGACATTACCCCTTGTCCCCTCCGACCAGGTCGGCGTCTGCGGGGTTCTTGCGTTCCTGCCAGCGTCTCGTACCTCTCCCTAGGGCCATCATTGGTCTTGATTGGCCCGTACTTGTCCTCGAATGCCTTCATCGCAATTGTTCCTTGCAACCACTCAACTGGCTCCCAAGTCGGCTCTGCGTAGCCCGTCCATCGCACTAGTGCTTGCCTGAATTCCCCTCGTCCCCGCTTCTTCCATCTCGCGCAGAGAATCTCGTCGACATCCCACAGATTCGTGCCGGACTCATCTTGTCCGGGTGGTGGCTGTGCGTCATCTCCTTTTGGGCCAGGAGCCGGATCTTGATGCGCCCGCCGCAAAAGGTCAACATGAAATCGCGGGTAAATTGAGCCACGAACATCGAGCTCAACAACGTGCGAACTAATTACCTTCGTGACTGTGTACTTGTGATGCAGCCAGTCGAGCTTCTTGCACGGTCGTGGCGATCTGTAGTTTGCCATCGAGAGCCACACCTTGTCACCAACTTCAAATCGCTCCGCAGGCTGTCGCTTTGCGTTGGCAGCCTCTTCTTGTTGTTGCTGTGAGGAGGCCATCACTGCTTGCATGTACTCATTGACCTCCTGCAGGCGACTGAGTAGGCTATCAGCTCTGCTTTCCTCTCTATGCCTCGGTGGCTCTTCCGATTCCTCGACGCTGATGGGATCGACGTGGTAACCATGCTCAGCGAAAAGGGGCTGATCTTGGTCGCTGCGGATTCACGATTGTTGAGTGCCAGCTGCGCGGCAGGAGCAGTTCTCCCAGTCGTCCTGCACGTACGACACGTAGGCTCTCAGGTAGGCCTCGATCTCCTGGTTCATTCTCTCTGGCCCTCCGTCCGTCTGAGGATGATAGGCCGTGCTCAATTTCTGCGTGACACCTGCAAGACGGCAGAACCTCTTCCAGAACCTACTTAGCCAGTTGCTCCGCGGTCGCTGACGATGGACCGTGGCATTCCGTGAAATCGGTAATGACACTGAGAAAACGGTTTGCACACGGCTCAGCTTCCATGTTGTCCATCACCTCGAGGGTCACAGCCTTTGTCAGTCTGTCCACAATCACCCACAGGTACCTTGCCTTGCTCGGTCCAGTAGGCGGCAGATCTGTGATGAAGTCCATGGACAAATGGCTTCGGGGTCGATCTGGAATCGGCAGAGGCTTGAGAAATCCCTTTCGACTGGCGCCAGATGTGTGCTCTGCCGCAGGTGTCGCAATTGGCTACGTACCGGCGAACCAGCTGGGACTGCCCAGGCCAGTAGAATCGCCGAGCCACAATAGCCAGCGTACCTTCCCTGCCGGGATGACCGGTCGCAACAGAGTCATGCGACTGCTGCACAATGCGGGTTCTCAACTGGTCTTTCTCAGCTTCCTCCTGGTTACCCTCCTCTCCGGATCCACCCGGCACCCAAATACGGTCTCTGAATGTCAGCCTTTTGCCTGCGTCGATCGCACATTCTGAAATCTGGATCTTCAGGCCCAGCGAGGGCGGGAAGGCACGCTCGCGATCGCGGACTGCCTTATAGGCTGCCCGGAATATCGAGTCCTTCGCCACCGTTTCGTCCCAGAGTTGCTGCAGGTCCGCTACCTCGAAGACCTTCATCTTCGGCAGGGTGGATGCCTCTGAACAGTCAGAACTCATCGCGTTGATACATGCTCTTGTCGATGATGGAATGGCACTATCCGGTATCAACTGTATCATTCTTCCTTGTTCCCGCTCGTCGTCAATGCCCTGTGGCTTGTCTTGTTCACGGCGGGACAACGCATCAGGCACGACAGCCTCGCTTCCCGGTCGATACTCGAGCTTGAAGTCGAACTGGGACAATTCGGCTGCCCAACGGCTCTGCCGTTCCGTGAGCTTCTGGCGTGTCATGAAATACTCCAGGTTGCGGTGATCGGTAAGGATTGTAAATGGGCCGCAGCTCCTAAGTTCGGCGTTCCAGTTGTCGAGACATCTCATGATGGCAAGCATCTCCTTGTCGTGAATGGGATAGTTGTACTCCGCTGGCGAAAGTCGCTTCGAGAAGAAGGCGCATGCGTGTCGACGTCCATCTGGGCCTTCCTGCGACAGGACGCCTCCCAATGCGTAGCCTGAGCAATCCGTCTCCAAAAAGGTCGGGAGGCTCGGGTCCCACTGCTTGAGCACCGGTGACTCGCAAAATCGTCGCTTCAGCTCCTGAAACGCCTCGTTCTCCGCTCGTCCCCAATGAAAGGCAGTTCCTTTCTTAAGCAGGGCATCCAGAGACTGCGTGATCTTGGCATAGTCGGGGATGAAGATCCGGTAATAGTTGGCGAAGCCAGAAAGCTTCTGACACCCTTCACCGTGGTCGGGGCCTCCCATTCGCGGATGGCGCGCTGCTTTTCGGGGTCGCAGGCGATTCCTTTCCTGCGTTGACGATGAACCCAAGGTATTTGACCTCTTGTACCGAAAACTCGCACTTCGCTGGGTCTAGGTGCAGCCCAGCGTCGGCGAGTGCTTGGAGAACTCGTCGCACCTTAGCCTCATGATCCGCCTTCGAACCGCTCGAGTAGATCAGTACATCATCCAGGTACGCTGTGACAAAGTCGTCCAGCCATTCGCGCAATACACTGTTCATGTATCGTTGGAATGATGCCGGGGCGCCGCTCAGGCCGAAAGGGCACACGAGCCACTCGTAGAGCCCAAACCTCGTGCGAAATGCAGTCTTTCCTCATGTCCCGGAGCCATGCGGATCTTATGGAAAGCGGCCACCACGTCCAACTTGGTGAACCACTTAGCCTTGGCCAGATTCTGCAGGGTCTCCGCGATGAGGGCAGTGGGTATCGGTCGCGCTTGGTGATTGCATTCAGCGCTCGGTAGTCGCAACAAAATCGCAGCCCTCCATTCGGCTTCCGCACGAACAGCACCGGCGCGGCAGCCGCTGAGCTACTCGCTCGGATGAATCCTCTGTCCAGCAGGTCTTTCAGGGTCTTTCGCAAGACCAACAGCTCTTCTCGTGACATGTTGTAGAGTGGGCCCCACGGAAGGGGTGGCTCGTTGCCGTTCTTGTCAGGCTGCAGGTTGACTTCATGATCCACACCCGGTCGATGTGGCGGCAGCTTCATTGCCTCTTCTGGTGAGAATAGGTCGCGGAATTCTTTCAGCACTTCTGCCGGGACCTTCTCGCTCGGATCGACTGGCGGCTTCGGCTGAAGCGCCCTCTATATCCGACAAACTGATTGCATGAATCGAGATCGCGTTGCACTTCTTGCGTCTCTTTGCGCGTCGACACTCCGCCGTGAATACGGCTGCCGACACGAGTCTTGCGCTTCGAATCGCGCGTATCTTGGCGGGCTCTTCCTGCCCAATGAGGCGCATCGTCACACCTGCCCTCCCATGGTACATTCGCTGCTTGGCAGCATCGTACACGACGTGATTTCTCTCCATCCAAGGCCGGCCGAGGAACATGTCCTGGCCCAGGCTTGGGATCACGTATGCAAAGACACGTTCGTCAAATCCAGCTGTCTCGACCACAACAGCCACGACCCTGGGGATATGACACTCTTCGCTGACTCTGAGAATCCCCCAATTTCTCGTGGTTTCGAGTCGACGAAGGGTATCCGCAGCTTCCGAACAAGGGCTTCGTCGATCACGGCATAGCAGTCACATCCACAGTCGACAAGGGCGCGTATTCGATAGCCTCGGTTTACCCGCGCGTTGACTAATACAGTCCGACTATTCATTCGTGGCTTGAACGCTTCCCAGTCCCGGATGTCTGCCTTTGCAGGCCCCGGCGCCCGCTTTCGCCCGGGGCTAGTCTTTTCCCGCCGACTCGTCCTCACTGGATGCTGCGGTTGATTCCGAATCATCTGCGGCATCGGGCTTCTTCATGCGCGCAGCTTTAGGTCGCTGTTGCTTCCTTCGCCAGGAAAGACCACCTGGGCTGGGCAGTCCACGATAAGATGATCCGTCCGACCACAGCGATAGCAGCGGCGCTCATCCTTCGGCTTCTTATCGACATGTCGACGACCCTTCGACTCGTGGCCAATACGGTTGATGTCCGTCATCTTAACATCTCCGTCGGGGTCCTCCGGTTCCTCCTTGGGTCGTTGCCTTGGTAGCTGTTGAGGCGTCCGCTCAGTCGACGTCGGCTGCCTACCGGGTTTCAGTCTCCAATCTGCCCGCAATTTCCTGAACTCTCGCAAGCCATCCCTGGTAGTCGTCGGGTAGGACGGCTGTGACCAAACTCTCTTGGAGGCGTGCATTTATTGCGTTCTCTAGAAATACGATCTTTGCACTGTCCGGCCAGTCTGCTCCCCCGGCTTCAGCTAATGCCTGTTCGAATCGGGGAAGGAAGGACGCGAGAGGTTGGTCTTCGCGCTGCCGCATAGTTCTCAGCGTGGCAGCAGCGCAGGATTGGATGTTGCTGTCCTGGTAGGTTCGGTCGAGGTATCGCATGAACTCTTGGGGTCGTAGCTACCCCAGGGCCTCCGCGGCGTAAAGGTAGCGATCACTTGCTGTGGTCGCTCGTCCAAACATGAGTTGATGAGGTACCAAAGTTCGCGATTTCCACTGTAGTAGTGTGCATCAAGGTCCAGCTTGTCTCGCATCTGCCTGGCCCAGGAGGAGTAGCTCTTCCGTGAGCCGTCATACTTGGGTGGGTTGGGCAACGGTTTCCGCATTCCAGTACCGCAGGTTTTGGGAGGGCGTGCCCAAGCCAGGCGTGCTCGCCCAATCCTCGTGCCACTGGCGGCGATTGCAAGTCGGCGCTCTGCGGCTGCGCTCGCCCGAGTTGCTCCATCAGCAAGGAAAGTTGGTCCTGTAGAGGGCTGAGAGTCGCATTGACCGCTTCTTGAATGCGTTGGTCAATCCATTGCTGCTGGAGACTTGGGCTCTCACTCTGCTGGTCCATCCTGACGAGCAGTCTGCAGCTTGCGGTATTTAGAAGGAGCTCTAGATATGTGAAAGGCTGGCCCGGAGTTTATTCAACAAGCAGGTGCCTAGGTGTTGTCTATCTAGAGCTAAGGAGAAAAGAAGCTGAACTCGAGGCGTAGCCTCGAGTGCGAGCTTATATTACCCTTCTCGGAATGTTCTCGCAGCTTCTGGGTCCGCGGAGCGGGGCCGGTGTTGCCACCGGAGCACGACCCACCGGACCCGGTACAACCGGGTCCACCAGCCGGGCACAGCCCGTGACAACGCATTGGACTTAGACTTTAAGAAACCACTTGCTCTAGATTTTCTTGCGAAAATTAGGATCTTGAGTTCCTCATATTTCGCCGATTATATTTAAAATCAACTAACATCCAGTCCAACACGATGAAGTACAGCACCGGAGCTTTGATCGCCATGTGCCTTGCCACTGGTATCTTTGCCGCTCCCACCCCGGGTGGGGAGAACGAAGCGGCTTTTAACAAGCACGACGGCTATAACGGCGCTCTAGGTGGATATCGTCGCGCCGTGGAAGAGGCATCTCATAGGGGCAGGCACCACGGCTACAACGCCCCTCCAGGCGGATATCGTCGCGCCGTGGAAGAGGCATCTCATAGGGGCAGGCACCACGGCTACAAAGCCCCTCCAGGCGGATATCGTCGCGCCGTGGAAGAGGCATCTCATAGGGGCAGGCACCACGGCTATAACGCCCCTCCAGGCGGATATTAAGGAAGTTAGGGGGCTCGCAAAGAGTCTTATCGCGTTTTAATTCAACGGACTACTCGCGTTCATTAGCCTAGAAGAACTTAGGGTTAGGCTAGGTTTTAAGTCACTCACTTCAATATATGGCAATTGATATGCGCGCCGAACCACTTTGCTACAGACGCCGTCTTACGGATGCTCTGTAGCTGACCCCACCAGATATGGCAATTGATGTTCGTACCAGGGTGGCGATCAACGCAACGTCAATCAACAGGTTGTCATACGGTGGCAACCCTCAACCCAGTGGCATCTTTAGGCAAAGATATAATTAAAACTGACGGTAACATCTTGTGGCATATCTACAGAGATAGCAAAATGCTGTTTGCCTGGGCAGCAACTTCAGGCGTGCCATAAGAAGTACGTACTTATTAAGGAGAGTAGGCATAAGAGGCCACAGTCATGCCTAATAGACCTAATAGTCGTGCACAAGGAAGCCTGCCTGACTAATATAACTCCCCTAGCCTAAAGACATTATATAGGCCTAACTTAGGTATAGGAATATCTTAATGCCCTCTTTTAGCTAGCTATATATAGTCACTATACCTATATAAGCCCCTCCCTTATCCTAATAGATAGACTAAGATATATATTACTAAATTTACCTTTCTATGCCCCTATTTCTTCTACTATACTCTTAAGCCCCTACTTAGGAGTTATAAGCCCGGCCTATATAGCTAGATTATCTTTTACCCGCTAATATTACCTTTAAAGCTATTTACGAGCTATTAACGCCGTTATAACGCTTAAATCGTAGTATTAAGGTAAGGAACCTAGCTATACTAAGAGGTACTACTAGAAATATACGAATTATATAAATTATATATCCCTTAAAGAAGGATATTACTTATTAAGCTAGAACCCCTATTTTTCCTAAGATATCTTTAAAGGAAGTAAGAGGGGATAATTATATTATAAGATTAAAGGAAAGCCTTAATTAGACCCTATAGATTAAGGGGATTAAATCGTAGGCCTAGACTTATAAGATTTAGGAATATACTAACCTAGATAGTATAAAGGAGCTTAAATAGCCCTAATAGCTAGACTAAGAGCAATTTATTATTAACCTTAAAAGGAGACCTTCCTAATAAGAAGATAAAACCGAGGCTATATTCCTTATAAGGCGAATAGGTATTAACGAACGATACTAAGATATAAAGGACTTCTTTCGTAACCTAGAGAAAAGGTTCTAACTATAATTTAATCGCTATAAGGTCTAGTAGAAAGCCCTAATCGTACTTAAAGAATTAATTAAGAAAACGATTAATAAAGGGCTTTAGGGGGCAACCCTAATATATAATAGCCTAAGAGAGAAAATTAGGGAATTAAAGAAGTAAGCCTTGCCCTTATAGGTAAAGGAGAAAAAGCTAATTTATAAAAGATATACGACCTCTATAAATAAAAAAGGCACGTAAGACTAGAAAGCATAGGTAGAATAGCTTAACTAAATTATTATAGATTTATAAGACCTTAAGGTCGATATACTTAACGATATAAAAATTAGATAAGATTTTCTTATAGCGGTAGATAAGTAGAACCTATATTAGTCTATAATAATAAGGGCTCTTAACCTCTATAATAAAAGATATAGTAAAGATTAACTCCCTTTAAGGAACTTAATCGTTAACTTTAAATAAGAATATACTTATAGGAAGAAGTTATAACTACCTATAAAAAGGAGAAGCGCTAATTAAATTTCTAGGAAAGTAGATACTTAAGCTAAATACGCTAGCTATAAGTAGCACGTTAATAGCTTAATAAGCTAGTAGGAAAATTACTACTTACTATAGGTAATACTTAATAAGAAAACCTTAATAAGCTAGAAATATAGTAATCTAGCTAAATAGAATATTGAAAAACAGCTAAAGGACTATCTAGATAAGAAAGTAAAATGCCTAGCCTAGACCCTTAATTCCTACCTTAAAAGAAGAGAACTAGTAGATACTATTATTAGTAATAATAGGCTAGGAAAGACTATAAATATAGTAACTCTATCTAAGGTAAATATAGCTATTAAGGGAACGCCGTTACTTATTAATAAATTAATATATAACTTAGGGGCCGATATTAACCTTTTTAATAACCTAGGTTAGTTCTAGGAAGGAACCTTTAAGTAGGGTTCTAATAATAAAGTCTAGGTTAGAGACTAAGCCTTTAAGGTATAAAGAATAGGAATAGTAGTTATCCTTATAATTAACGGTAGAAAGATAACTCTACTAGATACTTACTTTATCTTAGAAATACTAATAAGTATCTTCTCTACTAAGCTAGGGATAATTATAGGGATATTCTAGAACTGGCTCCTAAGATACCTTTATTTAAAACCTATAAAGGAGGTTCGTATTAAACTAACTAACTTCGAAGGTTAGTTTATAATAAGAATACTCCTATAGCGTAATAAGCGGGTATTTATAGTTATATAAGCGCCTAAGCCGCT